GCTGATTGTGGAACAAATCATTGCAAATACGATTTGTCCAAATAATTTGAGTTTTAAAAAAACTTCAAAATTTATCTAGGTCATGAATTGTACAGTATTATGAAAACCTACTATAAATTTTATACACTTTTTAAAGCAGATAGCTAATCTGCTCCAATTACCCTGATAATTTAAGGCAAAAGGAATTCTTTTGATCTGAATCTAGATAATCTCAGTTTTTGCCTCATATTTCTTTTAGAGACATGAACTGTGTATACATGTCATTCACAAGATAAATATAACGGTTTCTTTTCAAAAAATGAAGACTTATGCAACATTTAATGTTTGTAAATGCTATTATTCTTTTGTATAATACTTAAATCATATATATGATAATCTTTAAAATAACATAATATGATAATCTTTAAAATTTCCAGCTACCGATGTACCTGTGTAAAAAGGTTTGGTTATCTTTTGAATCTTTCAGACTCTTACTTTTGGTGATGTGGTTGCCATTCGCCACTATGAGAAGGCATAGAAAACATCCTGATCTGGGGCTGGAGAAGTTCTACAATCTTTCTGTTTACCCAAGTCTCAGTGCTCTACTGTTGTTACAGCATGGCTGATCACTAATTAGAAGGTTATCCTTGGTGTGGAGGTGGAAAATGATGACTTCAAAACTTGTTTTAAAGACTTGTTACTGCAAGCAATCAAAGCCATTTTTGATCTGCAGATTTATCACATTTTATAATTCCTATTAAAATTGTAAACTACTTTTTTTTTAAAAATAAAGAAGGGAATACATTCTATAATTTCCAATGGAATGCAAATCAAATTGGAATAAAAATCTTACACCCATGAGAAATTTGTTGTTGTTGTTAATATCACTAATCTGGCTGGGAACTGTATATTAGAGAGTTTTAAATAAAATAGCCTTTATTTATGGCATAAAGTCAGGCTGGGGAAGTTAGCACTTTGTTTAAAATACTAATTTAAAAAATAAGCAGAAGCCCAGGAAAACGTGGAAAAATTTTGGATTGGTACTTCTGTAGAGAATTTGGGATGGCCAGGATCCAAACGGGCTTTGTTACGGTGGGCTGGGCTGCACGAATGACCTCTTGCTACTAGAAACAGGCAGTCTGAAGAAGCAAGCTGATATACATGAAAATGTCTTATTAAAGAGTAAATATAATCAAAATCTCATATAATCAAAATGTCATGTAATTCAAGCTTCCTATTGAAAGGTAAATAGGACCAGGGAGTGAGTTTTATCCTAGACTATTGTAACCGAGTAGGACCCTATGGGGCCTTCCTGGGACAGGCCTTCCTCCATATCCTCTGCTTTAGCTCCTCTCTGAAGTACCCGGATAACAGTATTTGATGCACATTTCCTGAGTTGTTTTCCAGATGTGAAACCCCCCCCACCAAATGGAAGATGTTAACTACTTGATGACCATGAGCACATAGCCCCCAGGCCTCCTGGAGCCTAAGGACTGATAATGTGAACCCTTGTGACACAACCCTGTTACCTCACCATCAGTGAGTCAGAGAATTGTGCATGAGCTGATCACATACCCTGTGACCCCACCTCCCTAACCTGGCTTTTAAAAATGCTAGGCCAAACACTTTGGGGAGCGCAGGGCTTTTAGGGCAGAAGCCACCTGTCTCCTCGCATGGCCCTGCAATAAACCTTTCTCTGCTCCAGACTCTGACGTTTCAGTTTGTTTGGCCTCACTGTGCACTGGGCACACGAACTTGTGCTAACACTATAAAGATGTATCTCCAGACAAGTACACTGAGCTGAACAAAGTCTATAAGTGCTAAAACGGATAAAATGGAGTGTGCAGAGGGCATTGTGTGTGTGTGTGCCAGTGTGTGTGTGGTGGTGGGGAAGCAGGGGTGTGCGAGGTTGGTGGAACTGAGTTGACCAAAGGAAAGTAAATATCTGTTTATGACTGGCTAAGATTTGCATTTGTAATGTACAAATATTATTTCGTATTTCACTGTTTATAAGACGATTTTTGTACATGTTTTCAAACCCACAATGTGAAGCAGGTAAGGCAGATATTATTTTTACTTTACCGATGAGGAAACTGAAGATTCAATTAACATGTCCAAGTTCTCTTGACTAGTGAATAATACTGAGAACTGCAAACCTTGCAATCTTCCCACTTATTTCCTCTCAAAAATTAATATTTCAGCTAAATTTTCTTCTGAAACAAAAATGTAAGATTTTATTTTCCCTGAATTACTCCTTAGGAAAACTTTCCTGTTAGCCTCTGTGAAGTTTGGTGCGTGGGGCAGGGAAAGGGTACATATTTTTCAGGACAAACATTGAGTATTCATTTTTAATCAACCCAATATTTTCAGTAAGTTTCTATAAGTTAATTCAAGGTCCAATTAACTTACAGATAGAAGTTTGAGGAAACTTCCCTTAACTTACACAGTTCAACACAATGATACTATTACCTGACTATTGTATTACTTTTAACTACTGTAGTAAAGAGTAGAAAAAATCTAAAGTGCAGCTATAGGATTTAACACGTGAATGTACAATTATTACTGAATGTCAGGATATGATGGTCTAGCTCAGGTTACCATTACTAAAACTAGAGTCTACCTTTGTCTTTAAAAGCATGAAACAGAACATAGAGAGGGTGTTTGCTCCAATAGCTCTGAAAACCTTCATCTCTGCTGGAGGAAGACTGCTTTTCTTGGTGATTTCAGCCTATGCTCTGATAGAAGCATGGCTTCTGGCCTCTCTATTCTTAAAGATACAAGGGCAAGGATAGGGATTTAGCTTCGTCTCATTATAATTAGGTCAAATAACATCCTGGCATTCATTTCCATAACAACTGTCTGAAAAATGGAAAAGTTTTGGGATGGCCTAGTGGGAAGCAAAGTTACACTGGGTTAAAAGCTCAAGAGTTGCAGCAGTAGATCAAATGCAGTTTTCTAGGAAGATAAATAACAAGGATATTTACTTCCTAAATGTTTACAAGGTAGTTACAAATCATTTTCCTTCAAGCTATATTCTATCTCATATAGTAACCTGCCAAGGTACTAACTTTTCTGGTTTGCCTCTTTAAAAATTTTTCAATGCATTTGAAAAGGAAAAACTACTAAGCCCAAAGGCAATTTGACCAACTGGCCCTGGAAGAACACCTCTGAAGTTCCAAGATCTCAGATATTAACTATGCTAAAGGTTGTCTTGTGAAATCTAGTCATGAACCACTTTGTCACTGGTGCAGTCTCTCACCCAGATATACATGCTCACAACAAATTTCACCTACACCTGGAACATGGGGACCTACAAATACATGCCCAGGTGTGAGGTATACACCCAGAGATGGTAAGGCACTGTGGCTCTGTGCTCCTCAGAGAGAGGGTATAAAGGAAAACAAAAGAAAGCAGAGGGAGTCAAAGGGAGAATAGTGTTTCTACCCATTAACTCAATATATTGCCTTTTTAAAACTGCAAGCATTTCTTAGGTTTCAAAATGTGTACGCCATATTTTATGCTTACTTAAGAAGAATTATTTCACAACCAATTTACTTCCAGGAAAGCTGATTGAAAATTGGCAAAAGAAGAGTGAGAATCGCTATTTTTACAATTTTAAAAAATCCTTTTTCTATCTTTCAAAATGCTTGTCCTAGAAACATGCAAGTTATTTTGCTGTCCTTAAGGTTGTTCTCTCGCATCCATTTTCCTTTTTTTAAAAAATCTTGCTCCATTTTCCTCCACACTCTTGAGGTTGTGGACTGAGAAACTCCAAGGACAATTTTTTCCACAATAGGAAAGCACTTTGGTTCTCCAAAGGCTTTTGATTCTTCCTAAAGCTGAAGCAGAACTTGAACAGCCCAGGCAGCATATGAAGCAGAAAATGGAGGCACCCTAACTCCTATTTCAAAGCCCGTTTCATGAGACACTTTCCCGTTAAATTACACAGCATACAAAATAAGGTTTTCTCTGTTGGGAAACAAATACGCTTTACAACATCTTTTATGAGCTTAGTAATTCTGGAGGGTTTTTTCTTCTTCAGAGGAATTCCACGCCCTACAAATTTAAACTACATGTTCCCTTATCTTAAAGAAGTCAGCATCCTCATAAATGGTAACAGAAGGACCACAGAACCCAACGAAGTTTGGGGATCTTGGCTCCTTTGTCAGACTGAGTATCTTCAAAAATTCCTTGAAGAGTAAAATCAACCAGTTCTATGATTTTTGTATATCTCTGGAATGCATAGAATATGGTTCTGAGACATTGTTCTCAGTTTCAAAAACAAAGAAAAAAAGCCAAACGAATAAAAAACTGAAACCTAGTGTTTCTGAGCAGTGGTTCTCAAACATCACCATCACTTTAGCGTCACGTAGAGGACTTGTACACACAAACGACTAGGCTTCATTCACCCTCAGAGTTTGTGACTCAGTAGGTCCCTGTCCGGCCTGGGAATTTTCTCTTCTAACTAGACTTCCCAGGTAGTGCTGACACTGCTGGTCGAGGGACCACAGTCAGATCCACTGTATCCCAAATCTCTGCTGACCTAGTTCAAATCGAGACATTTCGAGGTTCTCTGCATCACTTCTGCAGAGAAGTCCCATGCGCTCAGGGTCAGGTGGCACTTAGGGAAGATGATCTGCGAGGGGTTGCTCCAAGCACATTCCTTCCCAGGCCAGTTACTGACGTTGAGACACAAACAGCAACGGGAAAAGCCGGATTATTGCTAGACAGCTGTTGAAGGTCAACCGAACCTACTCGTTAAGGACTCTTCCCTCTCACGTGACCACTGGGCGTCAACCCCAGCAGAGGTCTTCCTCCTCCCCAGCCCCGGGCCCGACTGTCGTGTGGAGCCCCGGGACTGTAATAGGTCTCCCAGGCCCGTGGCCGCGACCCGCGATGGCGCTGCTGGGTGCGCTCGTCTGCTGCCTGCTGGCTGCCTGGCACTGCCGCCGCGGCCTCGGACTGCCTCTGGCTCCCGCTGGCGGCCCGAGTCCCAGTCCGGCGGTGGGTGAGTCGTCTGTACCCTTTTCCTGCTGGGAGCTGCCCAGGAGCGGCGGCCAGAGCGCCTGCGCAAAGCCGAGAAAAGTGCGTGTGGGCAGCAGTGGCCCCGGCCAAGGCTCTGGGCTGCGACTCCCCCTTCGGGGCACGGGGAGGGCGAGGGCGACGGAAGGACACGAGCGCCAGCTCGGCTCGGCGGGGAGGCCGGGACTGGCGGCGGACAGTGGGGGCCGCTGCTCCTCCCGAGCAGTTGTTTTCGCTTTGCGTCTCCAGGTGTGTTTTGTGCCCGGGGGAAAGGAAGGAAAAACTGGGTGTCTCAAGGAAAAAAGAAGCTGGGGGCTGGGTGTCCCGCATTTCCAGAGGCCCCGAATCTGCCCAGAGCGGAGGGGGAGCTGCGGGGTTTCAGCTTCTCAGCAGCGTAAATTTCAGTGGGACTGAGTTTCTTCTGTCCTGCGCGTCAGATTTGGTGGCCTTTGCTTCCCACTCCTCCAACCTCAGCGCGGTTACAGCCCTGGCGCTCCGCGCTCGTTAGTCTACGTTAGAACGCGCGGGGCCTTCACTTTACCTGGACACCCCTGGGGTCCCCGCCGGCAGGGCCGATGTTAATTCATTCCCAACGCTTAGCCCAGCGCCTGTACAGAAGTGGTTCTCAAAGTGGGGTCTGGCACCAGTAGCACCAGCATCGCTTAAACGCGTTAAAAATGCAAGTTTTTAGCGTCACCCCGGACCTGCCAAATCCGAAACTCTCGGAGAATTGAGCCCCAACGATCTGTTTAACAAACCGTCCAGGTAATTGTGTTAGATGCTAGAGTCTGAGAACCACTGGTCCAGAATGGATAAACGTTGGATGAGAGATTTTGTGATGCCACCTGAGCCTTCAGTGTTAAAGGTCAAGGTGCCCACCCTCACCTCCCTGACTCAACTTTAAACATAATTGCTTTGTTATCTAGAGAGGGCGAAATGGGATGGGTGGAGTTGTGTTCTGTGGTTTGGGCATAGCTGTCTCTGAAACAGCTTAGTACTTGGCTCTGAAACCTCCTCTCTTCTCTATCACTTGACTCTCACATGATTTCGGAAATGCTCTGGGCAAAAAATGCCTCCTGTTTGTTCCAGAGCCGAGTCCTCATGACTCAGCTGTCAGGCAGTTGAAAGCAAGAACTGTCAATCTGGTTTCCCAGCTGTCAGTGGTAACAAGAAATTGTCCTCAAATACTTATGCATGCTGCTGGCTTCTGCTTTCATTAAAGCTGTTTTTCTTTCATTATGTGGCTGTTTAGGATTTTGAGATAAAATGTCCTAGAATGCAGGAGGCCAACCCATGGCAAATGCACCTTTTGATTTTAAGGATCTGATTGCTGAAGGCCTCAATGACAGCTTTCTGGAGTCTAGTGAGTCTCCACTTCACACGGCCCTGTTTCTGTAGGGAAGCTACACCTGGGGAAGAGAGAAGGAGAGGGGGAACCAATGTTCAAAGACCTGCTGAAGTGTCCATTCAGCAGGTTCACATTGGATATATTAATTTATATGCTTTCCCCTTGATGTGACGTTCCCTCTCCCCCTCTTCCCACCCCAAATGCTAGGACTTCTTTACACCGTGGTGTGTGTGTGTGTGTGTGTGTGTGTGTGTGTGTGTGTGTGTGCGCGCGCGCAAATTCCCGGTCTCAGCTTTCTGTCCTGTCAAGTCCCAGTGGTCAGAGGACAATAGCCCAGGGAGACTTCACCTGGTTGCGTTTTGCCACAATTTTTTAGATTTAGTAAGTCAGGACCTGATGGAGTATTTGGTAGGAACTGACATTATAAAGAAATAAACAAAAACACCTATTTTAAACAACAACCATATGTCCAAACATCTGAATTATGATATACTAGCTTCTTTGGGATACATTATCCCAAAGGTAAGATAAGATTGTTTTGAGCATTTATCCAGATATGTTTATAACACACACACATATACACATATACATATGTGGGAATCTTTTTAAAGATTATCTGCAGAACAAGAAAGCAATTGTTGTGTAGTGAAAAGAACACTGGACTGCGAACCAGAGAATCAATTGAAGTGTGGGCTCTGCCACAGGCCAGGTCTCTGGCCTTGGACACACACACACACACACACACACACACACACACACACACACACAGTATTTTGTATAAATTTCATTAGAGGTGGGAGGTGAGGCCTCCAGAGGTTCATTATTCATAAGTCCCAGGTTAAGAACCTGTCAGGGCTCCATTCTTGGCTTCTATTTAAAGACACCCTTCAGTGCACCTAAATAATTATTCCTCACTTATCTGTCTAGAAATCCAATGTAGTGGAAAGGGCGCTAGACTGCAAGTCTGGAGAGACTGGTTCCATTTCAGCTTTCATTACTGAGTCACCATGTGATATTGAGGAAATTCTGAATCTGCCTGTGCCTAATTAAAGAATGTTTGTTGAGGACCTACTATAGGTCAGACGTATTCTAGATGCTGGGGATATATAAATCCAGGTAATAGGTTACATCAGAGGAATGTGTCCTTAATGCGTTTCCAGTTTTGTTTTACAAAGTTTAATATATTAATAATTTCATGTCCCTTACTTGTCACAGTATCCCCTATAGGTGTAGCTGTTATCTATCTTACATGAGACAAGTGAGACGGAAGGACTTCCTTTTTCTGGAAGGACATTTGAATGTGAGCACGCACAGAGAGGTACTGTGTGCAGTGGTTAAGAGCCGTGTGGACTCTGGAGTCAGATTTCCTGAATTGCTGTCTTGGTTCTGCTGCATATGACATACGTGACTTGTGCTTAATTTCTGAGTGCTGCAGTTCCTTACCTGTAAAATGGAAATAATGGTCAGTCAATACACGTAAAGCATAAGAAGCAGTATTAAACTTACAGTAAGTACTCAATACATTTCAGCTATTACTTGGAAATGAGGAAATTCAATCTCAGATGCAAACTTGATATTACAAATGAATAACAATACAACTAATGTTGAGCTTACCAGATGCCAGACTCTTTCTGCTACTAAGTCACTTAACCCTCATTCAGTAGACAATAATATTATTCCCATTTTACAGATGAAACAGGCCAAGAGCATACAACTAGATTAGGAAGAATAGCTCGGATTTGAAGTAAGGTGGTCTGATTCCAGAGCCCCCATCCTTAACCATAACACTGTGCTGTTCTGTGTGTAGTTTACTACATACCTTAACATTCTATGAATAATAATGTACATATTTACGTAAAATAGAGATGCAGTATATATTTATACCCCAAGGAAGGGCAGCCACCAGGATGATTCTGAGCTATCTGCCAAACCACTTTATGTGCTGGGTAAAGTATGTCCAAGCTGGAAAAAGAGTCGGAGTACTTTCTGCATTATGGAAGAAAATAACTCTTGGCAAATGTTTTCAAATGGGGGCTGAATACCAAGTAATTGACCATAAAGACTATTTAATGAGTACTTTGTTCTGGATCTTTTGTCTACCACTTCTTAGCCGTGAACTTAAATGTGTTATAAAATTACAACAACTTTGCAAAGAAATAACATCCTAAGTATAGTATACCTTTTCCACCTTAAGTTAACTGCTTTCAATTTTCTACTTTATTATCCAGCTTTGGGTTTTATTCAAGTGTTTGCTCAGGTGCATACTTAGCTTTTATCATACTTAGCTTTTATCATTTGTATAGATAAAAGTTTGCATTCTACTTATTTGCTCCATGCTTCTGGTGTAGTACTGCTGCTATGTCACTTCTGATGTTTCCTATTGTAAATTAGTCCTAATCAGAGTGAGCTCCAAATTCAAAGTGTGAAAAAGTCTCAATATTAATATTTATTGGTTGCATATGAGAAGGCAGCAAAATCACTGAAGATATATGTGAATTAAGTATAAGCAAACTTGAGGGCCCTTCAAAATGAGGGGTCAGATTTTGTCTATGCCATTTATTAAGCTGTATATACTAGAGCAAATTTTCTAACTGATCCAGCATTAATTTCTCAACTCTAAAATGAGAACAGTGATTCCTACTTCACAGAGTAGTTTTGAGATTGAAATGACACAGTATATTTAAATTGCTTATCACAATGTCTGGCACATAGTAAATACTTAATAAAGAGAGATACTACTATGATTAACCTGTGTTTCCTTCAATGAAAGAATCTTTCTCAAGATGATTTCCAATCAGGGGTGCTATCAAGTGGGTCTTGGGCTTCTCCCTGAAAACTCAGTGGAAGCATCTTCTTTAACAAATGCTTCCCTTAATATTATAAACATCTTATACAAGTGTATGATAGAAGATGTTCCTCTGTTAAATAGCTTTTAAGAACCTCTGGCAGTGGCTATTTTTGGCTGAAAGCTAAACTGAAGACTCTTTTTTCCATTAATGTTGAGAGGCAAGGTTTTACAAGAAATTGGGAGTGAGATTTATTAGTTACAAGTTCTGCAATCTATTCACTGTGTGACCCTAACAAAACACATCATATTTTTTGTCCATTTTTCTACAAGAAGAAAATAAATAAATTCTAAAACCTTAAATTCTACAAGGAAGGAGACGTGCTATTAAGATACAATATGGGATTATTATTGACTTCCCAGAAGGTTGTCTCCATATATATCACTATACAAACTTATGCAAACTTATGTTTATTAAGTAGTCATGCTTTGTGGGACTTCATCAGTTCTGATGTGTGTAAATAGTAAATTCTAGTAAAACCTTCCTATTGTCTTTAGAATCCTTATTTCTGACAGGGAGTGTATTTAACTTCAGGACATATGAATATTTAAATGACTAAGGCTTTCCTCTATCACAGGGTGGAGGAACTGTCTCGTCTTGCTGTAAATATTGGTATGGGAATTCCAAAAGAGAAGTAGATTTAACAGCATTTATTTTCTCATCACCAGGACAGTTTTGGCACGTGACTGACTTACACTTAGACCCTACTTACCACATCACAGATGACCACACAAAAGTGTGCGCTTCCTCGAAAGGTGCAAATGCCTCCAATCCTGGCCCTTTTGGAGATGTTCTATGTGATTCTCCTTATCACCTCATTTTGTCAGCATTTGATTTTATTAAAAATTCAGGACAGGAAGCATCTTTTATGATATGGACAGGGTGAGTGATTATATAAATACCCTTAGTTACTCAGTATGTATCTACAGTGTCCTAAGCTTCATTAGAATGCCGAATTTCATAAGAATATATATTACGTTTTAAGAATTCTTGGGGTTTAAAAAAATACTAGATCAAATTAATCAACATTGTTAGGGATAAGGAAAACTTTAAAAGACCCAGTTTTGTTTCTTTTTTTGTTTGTTTAGAATACAGGCTCTAGAAATATGTCCATGTTAACTAAGAGATGAATCCATAAACAGCATATTTGTGTCAGTGTCTTGAGGTGTTTATTAATGTGATAATAGGTCTTGATTAAATAATCCAAAAACAAAAGGCAACAATGGGAGTTAACCTGTGATAGCGATTTTGCAAACATCATCTTCTGGTGGTGTAATTAACAAATTCCATCCATCATGACAGAGTGAAGAGGCCTAATATTTCCTGGACCTGAAATAATGACCATGGCACTGTTTTAATTTATACATTGTAACTCATTTAATCTTCACAATGGATATTATTATTCCCATCTTACAGATAAGGAAATGAAGGCACTGAGTATCTAAGTAACTTGCCCAAGTGCACACAACTAATAAATGGCAAACATGGAACTTTTGGCCCTGGAATCTGTGCTTTTAATTGCTAAAAATTTTTGCCTCTTATAAATCTTCAGTCAGGCAGTGAAATAGACTGAGATTTCCAGTTTATCTTTTGTATTTCACAAATTTTCTTTTTTATAGGCTTCCCTGTGGGACAAAGGTAAATGAAGAGTAGTTTATCAACTCTTTATCATCTGTTGATTTATAGTGGAATTTGATAATCACAATACAGCAAGGCATTACACAGGAGTCTAGTGACTTTTTATAGAAACTAATTTTGTTCTCTGTGATTCTGTCTCCTTTTCAGGGATAGCCCACCTCATGTTCCAGTGCGTGAACTCTCAACAGACACGGTCATAAATATGATTGCTAATATGACAACCACAGTCCAGAGTCTCTTTCCAAATCTCCAGATTTTCCCTGCACTGGGTAATCATGACTATTGGCCACAGGTAAATTTGACCACAACTTCTAGAAATGCTTAAAGGATTTTTTCCATCAGTAGTGTCAAAATTATGCTGATAACTAGCTGATGATAGGGCATGGGAGGGGCGCTCATGGATGTGGAGTTTGATCTTAATGCTAACCATCGAGGAAGGCAAGACAAGTGCTTTGGGGACTTGAAAGGGACTCCTAATAGTTCATAAAAAGTTATATCCAGGGCTTCCCTGGTGGCGCAGTGGTTGAGAGTCTGCCTGCCGATGCAGGGGACACGGGTTCGTGCCCCGGCCCGGGAGGGATCCCACGTGCCGCGGAGCGGCTGGGCCCGTGAGCCGTGGCTGCTGAGCCTGCGCGTCCGGAGCCTGTGCTCCACAACAGGAGATGCCACAACAGTGAGAGGCCCGCGTACTGCAAAAAAAAAAAAAAAAGTTATATCCGTAGTGAGATTTTGGAATCAAATTACCTAGTTTGTGAGTTATTAATTCTTGATTTCCTTTGTATTCTTCCTCAGTTTCTCCTTTCTTTTGAATAATTTTGTTCATTTGAATTTCCATGTTCAGGTTAGCAAAAACGGTTAATGTTGACAAATGTTTACATTTTTCAGAATTTCTGTTAGGCCTACTAAGCTACCCATACTCTGATCTAAGCTGGACTGTGATTAAAAACAAAAGCATAGCAAATCATCATAAGAAGGGAGGTCCATGTTCGAGATGTGATTCAAGGCAGAGAGCATGTTCAGAATATTTTTAATGCCTGATACGGCCCAGGCTTCAACCTATTAGGGTGGCTGTTTATTAAACAGCCTGTGCATAACAATCGGATAGCAGCCCTGGTTACAGGGATCTGCTATAGCAGTGTAGAATCTTAGATTTGTTCAGCTTCAAGAGATCTTAGAGATTGTTGTTTAGTTCAGGGCTTGGCAAACTAGGGCTTGTGGTCCGAATGCAGTCTGACACTTGTTTTTGTAAATAAAGTTTTGCTGGAACACAGTCATGGCTGTGCTTTCTGTTTTGCCTGTGGCTGCTTGTGTACTGTAACAGCAGAGTAGAATAGTTGCCACATTGACTATGTGGCCCAGAAGCCTAAAGTAATATTTATTTTTTGACCCTTCATAGAAAAAGTTTGCTGACCCCTTGTCTAGATCAACTCTTCATTTTACAAAAGAGAAAACTGAGGCCCAGAAATGTTAAGTTGCTTGTTCCGGTGCTCACAGTCACTTAGTGGGAGAGCCCACATCCTGGATCTTTTGTGTTCAGTTAAACAAACATCCTTTCACACATCCTTTACTCTTGCCAGACTAACATATCAGTATTTCCTAAACATTATATTTACTTTCATGCCTTTCTTTGTCTACATTTTTCTTTTGGTTTAGCATACCTTTTCCATCTCATGTCAAAAGGCTGCTTAGTGAAGGTTTTGATTATAATAGTTAATTAATATGAATAATGTGACTTTGAAAAGTTGCACTCTATGATGAGCTTGTTTCAAGTGACTTCTTGAGCCCGGCCTCCTGTCTTGAGATGAACAATATGTGAGTCTTTGCGAGTTGGCCTTTCAACCAGTGGTCAGCTTTTGTTACTGTTGAGATGTTAGACCACACAGGGCAGAGGCTTGGGAATGGGCAATCTCCAGGAATCAGAGGTTACACACATTGTTTTTATATGCTTTAGGTGACAGGCAGACTGTTGTAATAGAAAACATGTGGGGTTTAGAGTCACATTCACTGGAAGTTAAAAACCTGTTCTGTCCTGCTTCTAATAGCTTGAGCAACTTGGATAATGCACATAATTATCCCTGATCATTTGTAAACAAGAGCAATAATACCTACTTTGGGGAGAATTAGCGACACTATGTGGAAAGGGCATAGCTTCCTACCTGGCACATAATAAGCCCTCAGTAAGTGAAGTGGTGGTTTTGTAGCATGAAGCAGTAACGTCACATGGGACACATGTTTCCTAACTCCCCTGAGGATTGGTTTTATTTTACTTTTATCTCTGCCTTCTTTTTGCAAAGCCAAATCTTATAATAATTCAAAGATATGGATGCTATCCAACTTCTAAAATATATCCGATTATATGTACAGCTAGGATAAACTGGCAGCCTTTATACCTTAAACAGTTAATTTTTTTCTCTTCCTAGCTTATGACCTTATATCTGAAAACCTTCTATTATTCTACTGCCATCCTTCCATCCCAGTTTCAGGAAGGTCAGATGTAACATGAAAGCCCTACAACAAATTCTCCTAGAAACTTCTCATATCTGAGATCAAATTCCAGTGAATGTTAGTAACAAATAAATCGGATGTGTTATTTCTCCACTAAAACCCCATAAACATGTATTTAAACATAGCTACATAAACATACAAATACAGACGCAAATTCCCACCCACTACATCAGAAGTAGATATTTGTGTGGACAGCCCAGGGATTTCTTCCCATTGCCACACAAGGAAGCAGTCTGCGCCAGGGTCCTCAGGTACTCCTACAATGGCAAGGCTGGTGCCACCAAACTGGTGAGTGGGTCACTTCCCATTGTGCAATAGATAACTGAATGTAAGAGTGATGGTAGAAAGACCTGGGATTTAGACCCAGCTCTGGGACTGACCAGCTCTCCCTGGATAAATCACTTAACTTCTCTGGTGCTCATGTTTTTCATACTTAAAATAGACAGAAAAATCTAGAGCAATGTTTATATAATTTTGATTCTACATGACCATACCTGTATCTTGGCATCCATCCCAATGTAAACAAATGGCTAAGATATTAGGTTTTTGATAATGATGATGATAATTACCAATTTTTAATCAGAATTTAGATTGGCCTAAGCCATTGTGTAATTTTCAGACAGATGACTCTGATCGCTGACACAAATTGAAAATATCCTTTGGATAATCAGTTTCAGTTAAAAGAAGTCATTTGCTTATTACTTGCCCTGAATATATTTGTATTTTCATTATGTATTAGGCACATGTATTAGGAACTAATGTGACTTGGGTGTCATCTTAAAAAAAAAAAAACTAAGAATTTTAATTACTGATGACAGGGAAACTCCTTTAAGAAATAGGTCTGTGTCACCAATATAGAGAAGGAAATGAAGAGAGTGAAGAAAATGGCTTCAGTTTTTTACCATAATTTTTTGAAACGAAAAATAGGAATAATTACCCAATTTCACAAATGATTTCTGGGTTTTTATTCAGTATGTACTTTCTTGGAAGTTTTTTTTCTTCCCCTGAGCTTATGTCACCATAAAGATACTTTATTATAATATGATAAAATAGGATGATAAAAATACGGTATAATGTATTATACATATATTATTTAAAAAATCAGAACGATATGATTTAGGCTGACATAAAGAGACTTCAAATCAAAAACATGTTTTTCTCTTTCTAACTTACTTCACTCTGTATGACAGACTCTAGGTCCATCCACCTCACTACAAATAACTCAATTTCATTTCTTTTTATGGCTGAGTAATATTCCATTGTATATATGTGCCACACCTTCTTTACCTATTCATCTGTCGATGGACACTTAGGTTGGTTCCATGTCCTGGCTATTGTAAATAGTGCTGCGATGAACATTGTGGTACATGACTGTTTTTGAATTATGGTTTTGTCAGGGTATATGCCCAGTAGTGGGATTGCTGAGTTACATGGTAGTTCTATTCTTAGTTTTTAAAGGAGCCTCCATACTGTTTTCCATAGTGGTTGTATCAGTTTACATTCCCACCAGCAGTGCAGGAGGGTTCCCTTTTCACCACACCCTTATAGCACGGGGAACTCTACTCAGTGCTCTGTGGTGACCTGAATTGAGAAGGAAATCTAAATAAGAGAGGATATATGTATACGTACAACTGATTCACTTTGCTGTACAACAGAAACTAACACAACAATGTAAAGCAACTATATACTCCAATAAAACAAACAAAAAATCAAAAACATGTGGTTATAAGTCTTCATTCAAGAAGTTAAAAAGCTTTATACTAGTATTAACATTTCAGAGGACTTTGTTTAATTCTGAAATCCATCTCCTAGGCATGCTGCACCAGGTCCTACATATTCAGGCTAAAACCTGCCTTCAGTGTCTCTATAATCATATTCTCACGTCCATTCTATACCCCAGTCACGCTGAAACAAGGGCTTGTTTCTGTATATGGCACTGTGTTGGTGTCTGGGCCATTATTTTTGCTTTGATCCCCTTTCTTGTCAACTTGATGAAATCATTATTCAAGTTCTGGTTCAAATGCTCTTTTCACTCTCCCTGCTGACTCTCTGGGCTAGACTTGATTGTTCTTGCTTTTCCATTCCCAGAACCCTTGTGATGGTACCTAGCACATTGTCTTACAGATGATTGGTTGCATTTTGTCCTCCATCTCCCCAATTAAATTATAAATCCTTGAAAATTAAGTCTATCTAGTATTCCTGCCTCTCCAGATGCCTAACATAGTAGTAACCACTCAAGTGATATTTAAATTAATTCATCCACATATCTTTAGAGTTTCACTGGTGGATTATATTGTTTGTGGCCAGGATCAACTGCCTGTATTCACCAGCAAGGTGTACAATGCAGTAGCAAGCCTCTGGAAGCCATGGCTGCATGAAGAAGCTATTAGTACTCTAAGGAAAGGTAAGTGAAAGATTTACTCATCCCTATTTTATCTCTATTTTTTATCTCAGTTCATGTTGTTTAGACTTAGACCTTTAATGTTTCCTTGGGTGTGCCAATTCTGCAGAGTCCCTGTGCCCAGTTTTTCTGGAGGCCTTATCATGTTTGAAAGCCGGGGAGTGGCATGGATGGTGAGTGGGCCCAGGGCGAAGAAAGCAGGGGCAGGGTCCCAGTGGCTGAAAGTGCCACGGGAGCAGGGTGTTCTGTCACCACTGGTTCACAGGTGTGAGTGGGGTTATACCTTTAAGCCTCATCTCACCTGAGATTGTAGCAGCCCTGGTTTATCTGACATTTCTTCCTCAGTATTCTCTGGCAAGATCCATGTGTGTTCCCATTCTTTGGATTTTAGATTTCACAATATCTCTTATCTTAATTCCCCAAACATACAAAAGTAGAAGTTGATGTATTAATCTTTCTTTTATAAAATTCAGTACCTCATTGCCTAGTGCCAAAACATTTAGTTATCTTTTCATGTGAATGTTGGATACAACAGTTGTTACCTCAATTTGTGGAACTGGCGGCAGCATTGGACTTGACACATAGTAGGTTTTCAATAAATGTTTGTTAAATCTGATTCTTATCCAATGACAGCCTATGTCTGTGCAAACTAAAGAATAAGAAATAAGTATAACCTGCCTAAATGGATGGAAAACCTTAATTAAGATTTTGCTTTCACAGTGTATATGTATCTGTGTGTGTATTATTCCAGAATGTGTTTCAAATTTGTTTTTATAGGTGGCTTTTATTCACAGAAAGTTTCAACTAATATGAACTTTAGGATCATCAGTCTCAACACAAACTTATACTATGGCCCAAATATCGTGACCCTAAATAAGACTGACCCAGCAAATCAGTTTGAATGGCTAGAAAATACACTGAACATCTCTCAGCAAAATAAGGAGAAGGTAGATGCCGTAGACCAACATCATCATGGGATGAACAGAGGGTTAAACTTGTATACTTATTAGACTTGAGTGGGGTCAGGTATTAGTAAAAGTATTAAAATTTAAAGATGTTCTTACATGAAACACTTTGTGATTTGCCTCTGCTGTTGTTGCTTGTTTTATTTTGCTTTTAACGCTCTGGGGATTGATTGACATCTGTTGATATTTTAAAAAAATTTTTGAGCAACGTCACAGTTACCTTATATCATAAACCATGTAGTTCCAATAGACAAGTGCAAATATAGGGCCATTAAGAGTTTCATAATTTCATCTTTTTTTGGTAAATAAATAGGAGAAATGGTATATTTGCTTTCTAAAATTTAATTAATATACTTTCAATCTTGGGTATCTAAATCATTTTGTTGTGAAAAATGTGCGAAAAGATTCTCATCAGTCCTCTTTGTGTTTCTTTCTCCAGGTGTACATCATAGCTCATGTTCCAGTGGGGTACCTGCCTTATTCAAGGAGCATCACGGCAATGAGAGAATACTATAATGAGAAATTGATAGATATTTTTAGAAAATACAGTAACATCATTGCAGGACAATTTTATGGGCACACTCACAGAGATAGTATTATGGTTCTTTCAGATAAAAAAGGTAATATAACATTCTATTTGCATCTCCTCAGTCCAAGATGCTAGAGCAAAATAGTGAATATCCATTAATTTTTACTGATCCAGTAAATTAAAAGTTTTATTAAATCTACCTGCCAGTACCTGCTTTTTCTCAGTTACCTTCTGTGAGTGATGGCAACTGTCCAAATCATATTTAGTCCTGCCACTGGGTTTCTTCCTTTTAGCTCCACAAGGCCGTCATCATTTGACTGCTGTTGACACAAAAGCCTCTGAAACCCTCAGTTCACTCAAATGTTCTTTTACGTCCTCAAGTTTAGAGAATCACTCTTTTTTATTTACCTGCTAGACTCGTTTCCTTTGATATGACTAGATTTACTTCTCAGAATTTAAAGAGCAAAGCACAATTTACTGTTGGTTTAAAATAAATTAAGCTCCTACTTTTAAGTGCTTATCGACATTGTCATCTGCTCAGCAATAAAAGAAAAAAAATAGAAGAAGCTCTAGCATTAAATAAGACAACGATTATCTATTTTTAAAGATAACTTCTGTATAAGGGCAAGAAAACTGAGAGTTAACAAAATAAGAGTTCTGATTTTTTTAGTAGTCAGCCAGGAGAAAAATCAATATGTTTTTTTTTTCCCCCAGTAATTGGGGAACGTTTTTGTTTGTTTGTTTTTTTGTTTGCGTTACGTGGGCCTCTCACTGTTGTGGCCTCTCCCCTTGCGGAGCACAGGCTCCGGACGCGCAGCCTCAGCGGCCATGGCTCACGGGCCCAGCTGCTCCGCGGCATGTGGGATCTTCCCGGACAGGGGCACGAACCCGTGTCCCTTACATCGGCAGGTGGACTCTCAACCACTGCGCCACCAGGGAAGCCCTGGGGAACATTTTTGAAATGCTTTACCTTCTTCATCTAGAATGAGTGGGCTTGGTAAAAATGACCATTTTTCAGCATTTGATAGCTTTTTTACTCAGAAATTTAGTTCTATAATACAGGGGTCCCTAACCCCTGGGCTGCGGACCGCTGTCTGCAGCCTGTTAGGAACGGGGCCTCCCAGAGTGAAGCTTCATCTGCTGTTCCCCATCACTCCCCATCGCTCCCATTACCGCCTGAAGCATCACCCAGCCCCCCACCCATGGGAAAATTGCCTTCCACAAAACTGGTCCCTGGTGCCAAAATGGTTGGGGACTGCTGTTATAGCAGATATGTGTAAAACATGGTGACACTTAAATCAAATTCTTATTATATAATTATTGGAATATTGTTATAGGTAGAGTACAAAAAAAACTAGCTTTGTATATTTTATGTTTGTGTACTTGTAATAAGTTGGATAGTTTTATTATGAAAAATTTCAAATATATATATAGGTAGAGAGAATTATAAGACAAACCCCCATGTACCATCACTTATATTCAATATCTATCAAGATTCTGCCACATTTATTTTATCTATGATTCTTTATTCTTTTTTTTCTGAAGTATTTGAACATAAATCTCAAACATCAAATGTATTTTAGCCCTACATGCTTCTGTATTCATTGCTAAGTATATGGATAACTTACATAATAATAATACCATTAACTTACCTAACAAAATCAGCAATAATTCTTTTAATCTCTTCATAGTAAAACTTCCCCTATTTTCTCAAAAGTGTCTCTTTAGTGTTGTTTCAGATCAGAACCCATCAAGCATCACACATCTTTTGGCCGTTACTTCTGTTAACCTCTTAATCTGGAATTTGTTCATATTTTTAATATAGTTAAACTCAATTATTAAAAAATATATGTTTATGTACATATATTTTATCTAGGAAATCCGATAAATTCTTTGTTTGTGGCTCCTGCTGTTACTCCAGTGAAGAGTGTTTTAGAAAAACAGACCAACAATCCTGGTGTCAGACTATTTCAATATGATCCTCGTGATTATAAATTACTGGTAAGTTGGTACAATTTTAGAATTGACCCCATATTTATGCATATCTTTGTAGTTTTCATTAGTTTAGTTGAATGTTTTCAGCGCAGCTATTGTGAGTTGTACTTTATGTTGAAATCTCAGGATGTTTTTCTTCTTTTTTATATTTGGAATGTCAGCACTTTCTAAGTGTGGGTTTATGAGGTTAGCCTCTGGGAAGCTGTTTCTGTCTTCTAAGGTCTTCACATTTACTTAGATAAGGGTTTCACTGGGTAGCGCCTTGTTTGTGGACTTACATACATTTGTAACTTTTCACTACTACATATTTGTTATTAATTACTCTTCTCCAGAACACAGCTATGAAGAAGAATGTGGGCTCTGAAACCATACTGTCTCATGAGTGGTTTTACCCTACTTCTCTGTGTCCTAGTCTATTCCCCTTAAAACTGGGATTAAAATATTACTGACTTCACTGAGCTGCTGTGAGGACTACACGAACAACTATTCTTTTCATTTATTTATTTATTTATTTATTTATTTATTTATGGCTGTGTTGGGTCTTCGTTTCTGTGCGAGGGCTTTCTTCAGTTGTGGCAAGCGGGGGCCACTCTTCATCTTGGTGCCCTGGCCTCTCACTATTGTGGCCTCTCTTGTTGTGGAGCACAGGCTCCAGACACGCAGGCTCAGTAGCTGTGGCTCACGGGCCTAGTTGCTCCGCGGCATGTAGGATCTTCCCAGACCAGGGCTCGAACCTGTGTCCCCTGCATTGGCAGGCAGATTCTCAACCATTGCGCCACCAGTGAAGCCCGAACAACTATTCTTAAAGCACTTGGAAAAATGCTTGGCTCACAGTAAGCACTCAATAAATGTTGGCAAAATTTTTTTTGTAAAGAAAATAAATTGAGTTGGAACTTTTGAGACAAAAGCTCTCGAGCTGGTACATGACTCTATATATCAATTCAGCCTCATAAGGCCAGGCATTTAGCTTATGGGTACTGCCCCTTTCAACAAATATAATTTGAAAAGAATTTCTCAGTTAAAGTCTCTACTGATGTGACTGTATTTTTCTCCTAGGTAAATTTAGTAGGAGATAGACTTGTTAATCCCTAGAGCATGTTTTTACAAGAAAAGATAGGGCAGAAAAAATCTGGTTTAATCCATAAACATTAAATTAAATGAGGAGATAAAACAATTGAGAAAATAGTCCAAAGGAATTTTTTAAATTAATTAATTAATTTATTTATTTTTGGCTGCGTTGGGTCTTTGTTGCTGCACGTGGGCTCTCTCTAGTTGCGGCAAGTGGGGGCTTCTCATTGCGCTGGCTTCTCTTATTGTGGAGCACGGTCTCTAGGTGCATGGGTTTTAGTAGTTGTGGCACGTGGGCTCAGTAGTTGTGTCTCACAGGCTCAGTAGTTGTGGCGCACAGGCTTAGTTGCTCTATGGCATGTGGGATTTTCCTGGACCAGGGCTTGAACCTGTGTCCCCTGCATTGGCAGGCGGATTCTTAACCACTGCTCCACCAGGGAAGTCCCCAAAGGAATTCTTTTACAACTATTAGTTGCCTATTTTTGGATCTGAATCTCAGATACACACACACATGTGTGTGTGCATGTGTGTATGTGTGTATACTGACATAGAAAGATGTACCTGATGTAATACTATATCATTTTTAAAAGTGCAAAACAGTTTGTATAGTTTAATTTCATTTTTTGAAAAAGCCAAAAAGTTAGAAAATAAGTATATATATTCTAAATACTTATATTTCTTTGTACATAAAGTCTAGAACAGCACACATACACTGGAGTGCTGGTAAATGTTTAACAGCTGGTTCACCAGGTGGGGGGAAAAGTGCTTTGATTTGTAGTGTTTGCCAATTTCCATGGCATAAATACTCCCATCATGGCCAATTTCAAGCTGCCAAAGTGATACCAACTAACTTGCAAGATGCCTAAAAATTTGACAGTCAGCATTTGTGGGCTGGTACAAGCCACCTCCTCATATGACTGATTTATATACAACTGTTAGCAGTGGTTACTTCTGACATGTGTGAATCAAAGGCTTTTTATTTTGTAAATCCCTCTGTATAGTTGGATTATTTTCTATTATGTTCTTTCTTTTTCTTTTTTTTTTTTTGCGGTACATGGGCCTCTCACTGCTGTGGCCTCTCGTTGCGGAGCACAGGCTCCGGACGCGCAGGCTCAGTGGCCATGGCTCACGGGCCCAGCCGCTCTGCGGCATGTGGGATCTTCCCAGACCGGGGCACAAACCCGTGTCCCCTGCATCGGCAGGCGGACTCTCAACCACTCTGCCACCAGGGAAGCCCTCATTATTTTTTAAATGAAAAAATATATAGATTTTTCTATCAGGACTCTTTTTCTTTAAAAGCAATGCACACTTCTTAAAATGACTATACTTTAAATTAAGAATGTCACATAAATCCTAATAAGAACTCTTCTTGATATGCAGTACTCCATATGCCGAAAAACGAACCAGGCTTTGTTACTCTTTTTAACTATAGGATATGCTACAGTATTACTTGAACCTGACAGATGCTAATCTAAAGGGAAAATCTAATTGGAAGCTGGAGTATAACCTGACGCAGGCCTATGACATTGAAGATTTGCAGCCAAAAAGTTTGTATGAATTAGCTAAACAATTTGCAATCTTAGACAGTAAACAGTTTATAAAATACTATAATTACTTCTTTGTGAGTTATGACAGTAGGGTAATTTGTGATGAGAAATGTAAGGCCTTTCAGATTTGTGCAATTATGAATCTTGATGTTATTTCTTATACAGATTGCCTCAAACAATATTATATAAAGCACAATCCATAGTATTTCACAGTCTGTACTCTTAGAAAATGTATCATTGCTCTGTTTCTGAGATCAGTTTGTGGCAATTGTTATGCAAAACGTTGTTACTGAGTGGGCAGGAAGAATTCCTGTCTTTGCTCTTTTAGGATGCCCAAAATGTAGATATTTTTCACATCCTAAATTTTTATTATGTCAAATGTATCTAAACTGCCCATTACTAGAATGATGTTTGGATGTAAATACCCTATCTTCCAGTTTATATAATTACATCTAATTTATACTCTTGTTGAAATTGTCATTTATACAATAAGACAAATTACTTTTCCCTAAGTATGATGAATTATTTTTAATATGATAATTTTCAGTCTTTTAATTCATTCTTCTGGAAACTTCATGTGTAAACTGAGGTTCAGACAGTTTTAAGTGTCATGAGGTTGACACTGTTTATGCACTATCTATACTCTTGGGAAAACACCAAGGTCACATTAGGGCCATCTCTGAGTCTATGAAACATCACAGGACATGACCTCACTAGCTGTCTTCATTCTGTGAGTGAAGGGGAGTCCTCTTTAGTACTAAGTTTTAAGGAAGAGAATGTCATGGGAGAATGGCTAAATATTTTATCAAACTTTAAAAATGCAGAAATGTATTTATATGTTGCTTACAGATACATGTAATAGATTCCCCCAAAAGAGGTGTGTTGGTAAACATCAAATACAGGAATGTTGGAGGTTAATTAATGAATGGGAAAGTTGATTGGGGAGAGATATATAAGGGAATTTAAATGTGTTGGTAAAGTTTTATTTCCTAGTTCAATCAATTTCCTAGTGGCTATGTTAATGTTAGCTCTATTTTTCTTTATATATTTTTAAATATATTAAGTACTATAGCGATCCAGCCTTTAAAGTTGATGATTTTTGGCTCTTCTACGGAGAATGATTCATAATGAAAGCATGGAGACACTTGGAGGGTTTGTAGTAGTCTAGTAGAGAAGGGACTGTGGGGGGCGCTGAGGTGCTGGCAGTGGAGAGAAGTGGCCCTTTGGTGATACATTCGGTAAGTAGAAGCAGCAGGATTTATTGATGGCAAGGATGCAAGAGATAAAGTACAGGGAGAAATATAGGATGACTGCTAGATTTTTGGCTGGAGAAACTGGTAGATGGTTGTGTTATGAGGGAGTTGGGATTACTAGAGGAGGAGAGGGCTGGCGGGGAGTGCGAGGGGCACAGAGCAACAGATTAAGAGTGCTATAGTGTATTACAGCTGATACGGGCTACCCAAGAATTCCTCTAGTTCATTCAACATTTTGCTATTCTAATCATCTGTAAATTGAGAACTTTAGGATTTCTTTTAAAAAATAAATTAGTACCCTAAGAAAGCAGCCAAACAACTCAGACTCTACTACTGTGATTGTTTCTACAATATTTAAAATTTATTAGGAATAAACATGACTTACTTATAGGAATGTATCATCTGCCCGCCTCCCCACTGGTACTGCCTAAATCGTTCTAGACAAACATCAAGGACACTTAAGGAAAGGAAAAAGAGCATTAATTCAGTTATTGATGAGTCATCTATTCTTTCGGTAGAGAATGGATTTTCTCAAGCTACAGCATCCCCTACTTGGGTTGCTTCTCCTTGGAGCAATCGTGTGTGTTAAGCATAATTAGGCAACCTTTCCATGAACACAGAAAGAAATAATCAGGTAAGGATCATGTTTATTTTATAATTAGTTTTTCAAAACATACCTGAAGTTACTGTTTTACAAAATTCTCCTCTTTAAAATTTAGTGTGATTCATCATCCTTAACTTTTAGTAAAACAAATTTCTTTCTACAATCTGTTGTTTAATTTTTTTTTTTTTTTTTTTTGCGATATGTGGGCCTCTCACTGTCGTGGCCTTTCCCGTTGCCGGATGCGCAAGCTCAGCGCCCATGGCTCTCGGGCCCAGCCGCTCCGCGGCATGTGGGATCCTCCCGGACCGGGGCACGAACCCGTATCCCCTGCATCGGCAGGCGGACTCTCAACCACTGCGCCACCAGGGATGCCCCCTATCTTCTACATTTGAGCATGATAGACCACAGAATATCAAATTGGGGGCTCCCTTGTTTAGAAGCCATACTGTGTTTATTTAAGTTACTCATATGTTCAGTAATTATTTTTATGGAAAAGGGAAGAGTAGATTCATACATTTATTCATCAAACATTTTCTTAATGCCTGTTACGTGCAGGGCCTGTAATTGAAAACTGAAACACAAAAGAAGACGTATACATAAGTGGACAATTAAAAATTATTATACTCACCACAGAAAGAAATTGTAATTATGTGACATGATGGAGGTGTTAACTAACGCTAAAGCATTAACTGTATTGCAATATATAAGTATATGAAATCAATGTGTTGTACACAAACTTACACAGTGTTATATGTCAATTATATCTCAGTAAAGCTGGGGGGGGAAAGCGCTATCAGGATACGAGGATCTAAGTCCAGAAAATATATCCACCCTTCAAATTCATACCACAAACTCCGCGGCATGTGGGATCCTCCCGAAACGGGGCACGAACCCGCGTCTCCTGCATCGGCAGGCGGACTCTCAAGCACTGCGCCACCAGGGAAGCCCCTATGGTCATGTTTTTGATTGTAGAGATTTTATTAACTTTTACATTTGGTTCAAAATGTGGGAGGATAGTTTGGTAAGAGTATGTAAGGGCACACGTTTTTTCTTTGCTGAGCTCAGGCTTCAATGTGCCTTCTCGGGGCACTGCTCAAACCCCTCAGGAGTTCACCTTCAGAGGCAGAAGGGGTGAGGATTGTCTAAGATATCATCCTTAGAGGTGAGGCTGCTGGCCTCCTGGCTCTTCTACCTTGCTTATATATGATAGGAGGAGTGAGTGTCTCTTAAAAAAAAATACATGCATTTATTTCTATGTCTGCCTATCCATCTATCGTCTATCTATCTGTCTATCTATCCATGCCATTTTAGCTAATCTACATACTTTGCATATCTTTAATTTCTCCTTTGAGAGTCCATTTCCAACATTCATCATGCTAGTCCACAGACTATTATTTTCACCAATAAAAATGCATTTCTGTGCTGAAGAGAGTGTGGAGAAAAGGCAACCCTTCTACCCCGTTGGTGGGAATGTAAATTGGTACAGTCACTATGGAGAACAGTATGGAGGGTCCTTAAAAAACCAAAAACAGAGTTACCATATGATCCTGCAATCCTACTCCTAAGCATATATCTAGAAACGATGAAACTCTAATTTGAAAAGATACATGCACCCCAGTGTTCACTGCAGCACTATTTACAATAGCCAAGACATGGAAGCAACCTTAATGTCCATTGACAGATGAATGGATAAAGATGTGGTACATATATACAATGGAATATTACTCAGCCATAAAAAAGAATGAAATAGTGCCATTTGCAGCAACATGGATGGACCTAGAGATTATCATACTAAGTGAAGTAAGTCATTCAGAGAAAGACAAATATCATATATTATCACTTATATGTGGAACATAAAATATGATACAAATGAACTTATTCACAAAATAGGAATAGACTCACAGACAGAAAACAAACTTGTGGTTACCAAAGGGGAAAGGGGAGAGAGGGGGATAAATTGGGAGTTTGGGATTAACAGATAACACACTACTATTATATATATGTAATAGATAAACAACAAGAACCTACTGTATAGCATGGAGAACTATATTCAATATCTTGTAATATTCTATAATGGAAAAGAATCTGAAGAAAAGAATATATATATCTCACTACTGGACATATACCAAGAGAAAACCATAATTCAAAAAGGCACATGCACCCCAATGTTCATTGCAGCACTATTTACAATAGCCAGGTCATGGAAGCAACCTAAATGCCCATCGACAGACGAACAGGTAAAGAAGATGTGGTACATATATACAATGGAATAATACTCAGAAATAATACCCAAATGAAATTGGGTCATTTGTAGAGACGTAGATGGACCTATAGACCATCGTACGGAGTGAAGTAAGTCAGAAAGAGAAAAATATCGTATATTAATGCATATATGTGGAATCTAGAAAAATAGTACAGATGCACCAGTTTGCAAGGCAGAAATAGAGACACAGATGTAGAGAACAAATGTATGGACACCAAGGGGGGAAAGCGGGGTGGTGGTGGTGGTGGTGGTGGTGGTGGTGGTGAGATGAATTGGGAGATTGGGATTGACATATAAACACTAATATGTGTAAAATAGATAACTAATAAGAACCTGCTGTATAAAAAAATAAAATTCAAAAGAAAATAAAACCTTAAAAAAAGAATATAAATATATATCTCTGAATCATTTTGCTGTACACTTGAAACTAACACAACCTTGTAAATCAACTATACTTCAATTAAAACACAAAAAACCCTTGGCTAGACTAAAACATAAAAAAAATTCTGAAATCCAGTATTCTAATTAGCAAAGAGTAACAGCTTCCTGATTAGAATTTACATTGACCACTCTCAGGCCTTTCATTCTCGATAGTAAGTGAGTTGAACACCCAGCACATGAACTTTTAAGTATAACAATGGACTGGCCAGGGAGCTGAAGCTTACAGTCACTTGCACATACATAAAACAGTTATCTCTGATGGAGTATTTTTAAGTAAGTCACAGACAGTGAAACACTGAGTTTTAGTCAATATGTTCTTAGATCTCAAGTTGGATGTGTATTGCTGTTTACCTCATAGGCTAATGTAAGTAAATGCCAGACACACAATAAATGAGGGGGTCTGCTTGACTTGAGCTGATATCTTATTTTGTCTGTACTGTTCGGTACTCCGAGATGCTAAAACATCAGAATCACCGCAAAACCCATATTTTCCCACATGCAGTAGTATTTGGGTTCATCTTACCTCCATTCTTACATAAAATTTTATCTATGAAGACTACATCTCCCAGAGTTCTACAAATATTTCTCCTTATTTCTCGCCTATTTATATTCTGGGGTCTTAGTCTAATTTTTTATAGAATGAGATAGACTGATTAAAGAGGAGGGAAATCAATGCTCAGGTTGCTGCACTCTGGCTGGAGAGAGGTATATGCCTTGATTTCCAGTTGGTTGAATGTCTTGTTCTTCTGAGCAAGAGGCAGATGTGGCAGATGTGGGGTAAAGGCAAAGGTTTCTCTTCTTTCAGACCAGCAGACTTGCAATGCTTGATTATATATTATGCAGAGATCAGTAATTGTTATTCCCATCAAGTTATCAGTTCAAATTCTTTATGGATTCTGACGACAAGATGACTCCTGGTCCTGGTTAATTAATTTATTCTGTCATGAAATA